CCACAATCATATATAGAATATTTTCATCATCCTAAAAAGTTTCCTCTGGCCCCTTTGTGTTTAATTTCCTCCCCCAAGTTCTTGGCCTCTAAGAACCACTAGTCTGCTTCTTATCCCTATAGTTACGCCTTTTCCAGAATTTCATGTAAATAGAATCATAAGGTATTGTAGTCCTTTGTATTTGGCTTAAATGTAATGCCATGTTTTATGACTGGTTCAGTTTTTGCATTTTTCAGTATTTTGTCCCTTTTTATCACTGAGTTGTAGCCAGTTGTACGACTCTATAACCATTTTATTTATACATTCATCAGTTGATGGAGAATTGGTTACTTTCTGCTTAATCTTTTTGTTCTTTTTAATCCTCACCCAAGGATATTTTTCCATTGACTTTTTTAGAGACAACGGGAGGAGGGAGGGAAGGAAGAGAAAGATAAATATCTATATGAGAGAGACACATCGATTGGTTGCCTCCTGCATGTGACCGGACCAGGGTTGGGAACTGAACCTGCAGCGCAGCTACTTGCCTTTGATCGGGAATCAAACCTGAGACCCTTTGGTCCTTGAGCCGAGTCTCTAACCACTGAGATGCTCTAGCCAGGGCTGCTTAATCTTTGGTATGTGCATAGCCAGTTGTCCCAACACCATTTTTGGGAAGATTACCTTCCTTCTCCTCTACTGAATTGTCTTAAAAACTCGGTAGAAAACCAATTGACCATAGACGCTTGAGTATACAGTGGGGCAAAAGTAAGTTTACAGTTGTTTGCATGGAAACAGAATTAATAAATAATAATACAAGAATAAACTCTGTGTTTCCTGTACTCACAACTGTAAACCTACTTTTGTCCCAGCCTGTATTTCTGGATCTCTATTGTATTCCACTGATTTGTTGTTCTGTACACCAGTGTCATGCTGTCTTGATTACTATGGCTTTAGAATACATTTTGAAATCAGATAGTGTTAGTCTTCCAACTTTGTTCTGTTTTAAAATTGTTCTTCCACCCTGGCCGGTTTGGCTCAGCTGTTAGAGCATCTGGCCTGTGGACCAGAGAGTCTGTGGTTCGGTTCCTGCTAAGGGCACGTACCTCAGTCGCAGTTGATCCCCGGCCCCGGTTGGGGTCATGTGGGTGGCAACCAGTCGATGTGGCTCTCTCACGTTGATGTTTCTCACTCTCTCTTCCCCCCTCTCTCCCTCCCACTCTATCTAAAGATAAATGCAAAAATGTCCTCGGGTGAGGATAAAAAAAAAAAGTACAAATTGGTTGTTAGACTGAAAAACCTGAAAGGGAAGGGGAGTGGGAGGAAATAAACCAAAGAACTTATATGTATATATTCATAACAAATGGACACAGACACAGTGTGGGGAAAGGCAGGAGGGGGGCGGGAATGGGGAGGAGGGGGTCCAATAGGGGAAAAAGGAGGAACATGTGTAATACATTCAACAATAAAGATAAGTTAAAAATAAATAAATAAATAAATTAATTAATTAATTAATTAAATAAGTTGTACACATCACTTAAGTTGATGAGGGCCTGATTTAGGCCCACAACTACATCTAATGTCTCTGGAAGGGAGGCCAGCAGATGTTTCTTTCTTTTTTTTTTTATCCTCACCTGAGGACATTTTTCCATTTTTTGTACAGATAGAGTGGGAGGGAGAGAGAGAAAGAGAGAGAGAGAGAAACATCGACGTGAAAGGGACACATCGAGTGGCTGCCACCCGCACGACCAACCAGGGCCGGGGACAAACTACAACCGAAGTATGTGCCCTTAGCGGGAACCAAACCCGGGTCTCTCCGGACCGCAGGCCGACGCTCTAACCGCTGAGCCAATCCAGCCAGGGCAGATGTATCTTAAAAAAAATAAAATAAATAAATAAATAAATAAAATTGTTCTTCCTCTTTAGATCATTTATATTTCCTTTTAAATTTTAGAATCCAATGTCAATTTCAATAGAAAAGCCTTCTAGGATTTTTATTTGGATGAGAGTCAATAGATCGACTTGGAGAGAATAGACATCTTAATATAGGGTCTTCCAATCCATATGCAGATTCTCCACTTCGTTTATTTAGAGTTTTAATTTCTCTGAGCAATATTTTGTACTTTCCACTGAATGATTTTGCCAGAGCCTTCTAGCTTCTGAATCCAAGAGTTCTTTTCAGTCCCAATCCTACCTGACCTCTTTAGCACCCAACATTCGGCCATGTCCTCTTTCTTGAGGTTCCTTCCTCCATGGAATTCGTGTCCTCATTCAGTCCCTGTTGTTATCTATCCCTTGGATTGTGTTGCTCTGTTCTCTCACAGGTGCTTTCCTATTTCACATGACCACAGGAGGAATAACTAAACCTGATCATCGATACTCCAGGTGGCTACAGTACTATAGTTTCATGGTCAGCTGTGATGGTGAAGACCTGTACTGGAAGTCTTCTCTTTGGATCTTTTAGGAAACAGTCTGCCTTCCTTCCAACATCTGTGGAATTGTGGGAGGATGTCTTTAAAAAGATACCCTTCTGCCCTGGCTGGTTTGGTTCAGTGGTTAGAGTGTTGACCTACGGTCCAGAGAGACCCAGGTTCGGTTCCCACTATGGGCACGTACCTTGGTTGCAGTTTGTCCCCAGCCCTGATTGGGTCGTGCGGGTGGCAGCCACTTGATGTGTACCTTTCGATGTTTCTCTCTCTCTCTCTTCCTCTCTCTGCCCCCTGCCCCCACTCCGTCTGAACAAAAACTGGGAAAATGTCCCCGGGTGAGGATAAAAAAAAAAATACCCTTCTAGGAATAGGTGAGCCTGGAGCTTAGAGGAGGATTGTAATGTTGGAAAACCTAGCAGTTTTGTAGGTTTTCCTACTCACCATCTCAGCCTATTGAGACATCCAGCTTTCTTTGAGTCACTTCCCGCCCCCCCAACTATGCCCACCAGAATAGCTGTTAGTTGAGGGTCATCCTGGGTGCTGAAAGGTTGCCAGTTCAATTCCCATTCAGGGCACATACCCGGGTTGCAGTTTAATCTCTGGTCCGGCACATACAGAAGGCAAACGATCCATGTTTCTTTCCCATATTAATGTTTCTCTCTCTCTCCCCCTTCCTCTAAGTGTCATCAGGTGAGGATTAAAATTATATATACTGAAATTCACATAACATAAAATTAACCATTTTAAAGTGAACAGCTCAGTGGCATTAATACATTCACAATGTTGTACAACCATTACTTCTATCTAGTTCTAAACTATTTCCATCGAAGTAAAACCCCTGATCTGTTAAGTGGTCTCTTCCCATTCCCCTCTACCCCAGCCCCTGGCAAAACACCGATCTGTGTTATATTTCTATGAATGTATCTATTCTGGATATTTGATATAAATGGAATCATATTTGTGCAACCTTTAGTGGCTGGCTTCTTTCATTTAACATAATGCTTTGGAGGTTCTTGAGTCAGTTTTTAACTGTTGCAGTTTGTTAAACTGTTTGCTGTCCCTTACTGGGAATCCTTGGTTATCCAACCTGTCTGATCAAATTTTAGTAAATAATCAACAATATTAACAGTAGTATGTAAACATATCTTAGGTATGGTGATGAGCACTGTTTAATAGTTAGTTCTCCCAGAATTGTCCTTAGGTATAGGCAAAGTTACATTAAAAATGGGACATTTTATCAAGAAAAAAACTATAGAATATCCCTCATTAGCACAATGCTACCATAAGATGCCTGAAGAAAAAAGGCAAAGACAAGAAAAAGTATCCATGGTTGAGAGCCAGCTGTGGAGGCCCTCTGACTCTGGGCAAGGAAGGTGGAAATTGCCTCCTCCCATATCTGTCTCCATGCCTAAAACCCAGCTGAGCCCTGGCCGGTTTTGCTCAGCGGTTAGAGCATTGGCCTACGGACCGGAGAGTCCTGGGTTCGGTTCCCACGAAGGGCACGTACCTCAGTTACAGTTTGTCCCCGGCCCTGGTTGGGATCATGTGGGTGGCAGCCACTTGATGTGTCTCTCTCACATTGATGTTTCTCTCTCTCTCTCTTCCTCCCTCTCTCCCTCCCACTCTATGTGAAGATAAATGCAAAAATGTCCTCAGATGAGAAAAAAAAAAACCGGCTGAAATAGTTCAGCCCAGCCTTCATGCAGTAATCAGGCAAGGTGGAGAAAGGCTATGAATCCAATGCTTAAAACCAGAAAGGCACAGCTCAGACAAAACTCCCTAACTCTCACTCACTCCCACTCCCAAAACTTTTCTAGCTGAATTATTTTTTTTGTGGACTGGGTGTTTGCTAGGCTTTTATGAAGGTGATAGATATTTTTTTATGGGAACTAAAAAATTATGGCAACAAACTTAAAAGCGCACCCAAAATGTCTACAACAAATGCTATTTTAACGTTACGGGGGGATTATAAGGAAAGGATCCATCCTCATTTTATCCCTTTCCCTTTCTTTTTTTTTGCATCTGATGATTGCATAGTACAAAATAATTTACATCCTAATTTCAGTTCCCCTTTGCAAACTTTGTGAACAAACAACTTCTGAGCCTGTCCCCTCATCAGAGCTGGGGTGCGGCCATGAAGTAAATAATATTTGTGAAAGCGAAATACACAGGCTCTGGTGAGACAGTCTGTGCTTCGGTCCTCGTCCACCTCCTCTGCGAACACGCCCATGTTCCATTAGAAGTGCAGCCAAACACCACTTTTCCCGTCTGCTTTCCCTGATGGGCTGTGGGCTTCTGAAGACTAGTCCTACCTGCTAGGCCGACTCCTTCCCTCTTACAAGTCCAAGACAAAGAGCACTGCTTTGGTTTGAAAACCTGGGACTCAGCCAAGGGCAGCCCTAGCACAAACTGGTAAACACAACACCCGCCCCAGCAACCGTAGCCCAGACTCCGCCCTCTGAGCCCATTGGTCCATTCAATTCTCGCCGGCACCAATGGGCGGAGGCGGCAGCCGCGCCATCTGAAGACCGAGCCCCTGCCGCCGAGCGCGGTGTGCGTAGGTTTGCGTTTGAGGGACTGCGAAGCGGTCAAAGAGGAGACGCGTCCGCCTACTCACTGCGATGAGCACCCCAGTGGATCCACGCTACCTGCAGCTTCCCCCGAGTCAGAGGGCCCAGGCCGCGTTCAGAGGTGAGGGCCGCGGGGGCGATATCCGCGCCGGGGGACTGAGGCAGCCGGGGTGGGGGGTGGATGGCTCTGGCCCAACGGTCAGGCCCGGGCCCGCAGACCAGCCTCCGCCCTGACGAGGGGTGTGAGACCCCGCAGGCGTCCCCGGGCCTCTCGCGGCGGCACTCTTGACCGAGTGGTGCCCGCTGCGTGGCGGTAGTGCGGGTTGAGCTCCTCGCGTGCAGTCGTTTCTGGCCGTGCGTATCCCGCTGGCCCACCGCCCGGGACTGTATTTCGAGGCGGCGCGTATGGGGCCCAGGACGGAACCGGCGTTGGGGGCCGGGCCCGCGGGGTCCGGCTGCGTCCGCGGGGAGAACCGGAAGCGTCTGCGCAGGGCATTCGCACCTGAGATGGGATCGAATTTCTGGGCATCTGGGGTTGCCGCATCTGCTGCCCCCCAGGTTTAACGCCTCGACGTCCTGGAATTCCTGGTTGGCTGCGTCTTCAGAAGTAATATCATTATTTCTTTTTCCTACATGGGAAAACAGAACAAAGAAATTATCATCCAACTCGGTTCTGGTAAATTAGAACTTGGAGTCTAGTGTCTTCATCTCCTACCACTTGGTTTCCTAAAACTTGCCTTTCAGCAGCCATATGTTGAGAATGATGTTCACCAGATCTTCCACTTTAAAACAGGAGATAATGGGATTCTTGTGCAGAGTGTTTGTGGGACCATGTAGTAACAGTCTCGGAAAAATTAGATTATTTTCCAAAGGCAATACTGAATTGGGCAATTTTCTGTTACCTACAAGATGTGATGTTAAGTAGGACATTTGTCGAATTAAAATTTTCATTTAGTCAATATTTATTTGGTGTTATCATTGTAACTAATGTTGACTTACAGCTCTTTTATTATTTAGAGCAAAGAAAACAAAAACTCAAGGAGCATATGTTAAAAAGAAAAACTTTTTTTGCATACAAACAGGAAAATCAGATATTCTCCAGGTGAGGTCAAATTTTTTTTATTTAATTTTCTATCGGTAAAACGTACATCAGCCCTGGCTGGTGTTGCTCAGTGGATAGAGCGTCGGCCCGCAGACGAGAGTCTCGGGTTCGAGTTCGCCCAAGGGCACATTACCTCCCTTGTGATTCGGCCCCGCCCTGGGCCGGGGCATGTGCGTGTGGGCCAATCGATGTATCTCTCTCACGGATGTTCCTCTCTCTCCCGCCCTCCCTCCCACTCTACCTGAAGATAAGTGGGAAAATCCTCTGGTGAGAATTTTTTTTAAAAAGTGCATCAACACTTTCCAATAAAAATGTAACGTGAGCCACATGTGTAACTAACATTTTTCTGGTAGCCACATTTAAAGATTTTTTTTAAGGTGAAATTAATTTTAAAATGTTTTTTCTTTTCATTGATTTGGGGAGGGGTGAGGAAGAGAAACATCAATGTGAGAAACATTCATTGGCTGCTTCCTGCGCGCCCCCTACTGGGGATCAGCCCTCAACCCGGGCATGTGTTCTAACCCGGAATCCACAACTGGGACCTCTCAGTTCGTGGGACCACACTCAGTCCACTGAGCCACCTGGACAGGCTAAGGTGAAATGAATTTTAATAACATTTTGTTTAATGCAACATATCCTGTGTTGTCATTCTCACATGTAATGATTTAACATTTTTAAGGTATATTACATTCTTTTTGGTACTAAGTTTTCAAAATTTGGTGTGTATTTTACACTTTCAGCATATCTCAGTTTGGACTAGCCACATAATAAGTGCCCAGTAGTCACATGTGGCTTAGTGGCTACCTTATTGGAGTGTACAGCATTAGATGATCATTTCCTGTGTAAATTAATTCATACACTAAGAGGAAACAATTTTAAAACAAAATTGTGTTTTTATCAAAATATTGATTTATGGTTTGTACAGTGCTACAAAGGTCAAGTCTTTGTATAATTTAGCAAGCTTCTAGTCAGAATCTTTGTTTGGGGTGGCGGGGAAGTATTATTCTTTGGGAGGTGGTTCTCCTAAATGTTTGGAAATACTTTGGAATAAATATTTTCCTAAATCCTACAGTTCCTTGTTTAAAACAAACAAACAAAAAATGATCTTAGGCTTTTGATTTGAATAACTGAGTCGATAGTGATAGCATGTATTAAAATGGGGGGAGTTAGGGGTTCTGTTTGACCATGTTAAGTTTGAGGTACGAATAAGGCATCGAAGTGGAGATGCCAGATAGTTATGTGTCTGAAGTTTGGGGATGAGATTGGGACTGGATGTATAAACTTGGAAATTGTCTGTGTGTATAGACAATAAATATCTATTTAAAACCTAGGAGTGGCTAGGAAAAAAAAAAAATTTTTTTTTTAAGTAAAAATGAAACAAAATAAAAAAAAAAACCTGGGAGTGGAATGAGATTACTAGAGAATAGGCAAGGAGGATATTAATGCAAATAAGACAGTGACTCACTTACTTAAATAAGGAATCCCACTGGGTCATGGGGTTTATAATGCTCCTATATACAATCAGAAGAAAATTCTAAAACTCTTCTGGCTTTACCAAGAAACCTCACAAATACTGTATTTACTCGTTTTGGAAAACAAGTGCCAGTTTAAAAATTACTTGAGCAACAAATTAAATAGACAACCAATCAGACTTGCAGCTTTTCAAATTTAAACATTTTTTTACAATCTTTTTTTTTTTTTTTTTTTATCCTCACCCGAGGACATTTTTCCATTTTTTGTTCAGGTAGAGTGGGAGGAAGAGAGAGGAACAGAGAGAGAGAGAAACATCGATGTGAAAGGAACACATCAAGTGGCTGCCACCCGCACAACCAATCAGGGCCGGGGACAAACTGCAACTGAGGTACGTGCCCTTAGTGGGAACCGAACCCGGGTCTCTCAGGACCGCAGGACGACGCTCTAACCGCTGAGCCAAACTGGCCAGGGCTTTTTACAATCTTTAGTGTGGGTATTTTAACACTCCTCTGTTTAAGATAACTCTTCTGAGGGCAATTTTATCATAACAAGATAGAATAGAATTATATATTTTCATTTAAGTCTCCACACTGGACAAATGAGTAAGGTAGATTCTCCTTATGTCCTGAGATTATTTTTAAAGGTTTAATCATTTTATTTATCTTTTCCCTTTTAAAAAATAATCAAGTTATAGTTGACATACAATAATAGTTTCAGATGTACAACATAATGATTCAGTATTTTTATACATTATGAAATGATCACGATGACTCTAGTTATCATCTGTCACCATACAAAGTTGTCACAATTATATTAACTGTATTTCTTGTGCTGTACATGACATCCGTGTAACTTACTTTTTTTTTTTTTTATGCCAACCAGGAACTTTTATTTTATTTTTTAATCTTTATTGTTGAATGTATTACAGATGTTCCTCATTTTTCCCCCATTGTCCCCTTCCTCCCTACTCCCGCCCTCCTCTTGCTTTTCCCACACTGTTGTCTGTGTCCATTGATTATGCATATAAGTTCTTTGGTTTATTTCTTTCCACCCCCAACCCCCTTCTCTTTGAGGTTTGTCAACCTAGCAACCAATTTGTTTATGCCAAAATGTACATTTTTCCCATATTTTGACATCTCTGAACTTGAGCTCTTAGTCAGTGGCATCTAACTGACCCTGTTTTTTCATTTCTTCACTTGCTAAAAGATTCTTACAGCCGATACTAGCCAGTCTATATATGTAAAAAGGAGTTTAAATCGAATTCTTGAGGAGGGATTCTTTGGATGTGTATTCTAAATGCAATGCCATCTAGAAACTAAAATCAATATTAATAAATTAAGCTATAAATGTGTATATAGAAAATTTTGGGTTCTTTTGAGAAGACTGTTTTTAATTTTTTTCGATGTAAGTCTGTTACCGAGTACTTAAAATGAAAACTAACCAAAGAAAGTGTTGCTTTAATAAAGTTTTTTTAAGATTTGTTTGAATGCCTAAGACAGGATGGTTTAAAATGAGATTATCAAGTGTTTACATATTCTATGGGGAGAGGGTGTTAAGACTTTTAAGAAAATATCTTACCTTAATTTAAAATTATGAAATCAGGTAATTGTTAATGTTCTTTTATCCCTTCCCTCAAAAAGGAAATCTCTGATATGGGGTTTAAAAATGTTTTTTTGTTTTGTTTTGTTTTGTTTTTGAAGTAGTAGAAACAAGGGAGTGATGACATCTGAGGGTCAGGTCCAGGAAGAGACAAAAGTTCTGAAACTTAAGACAAAAATGGTAAGATACGGTCATAGTCCTAAAAACTGTCCCTTTTCCCCCCTTTCCCTTTTCTAAACTCTTTCTGAAAGAAATGAGTTCTGAAAAACTGATTTGTCTCAAATAACTCTTTTAGGCTGATAAAGAAAATGTTCATAGAATTACAAGGAGCGAAAATAACATAACAATGGGAAAAAATTGTATTCCATTAAAACCATCTAATGAATTAACCAATTCAACTATAGCAACTGATACACATAATCTGGAAGAGAATAATCAAACTCTGCAGCTGTTACCAATTAAAGATGACCCCCAAGGTCATCGTATGACATTAAGCCAAGCATTTCACATTAAAAACAATAATAAAAAGAAACAAGTGACTACAGAAAAATCAAAGCAAGATGCTAACATGCTCAAGAAACCTGTGCTTGGATCTTATCGTGGCCAAATTGTGCAATCTAAGGTTAATTCATTTAGAAAACCTATACAAGTCAAAGATGAGAGTTCTTCAACAACAAAGAAACTTTCAACTACTATCTCTAAAGCCACAAAACCTCAGCCTATAAACATTAGCAGTATAACAGTGGAATGTCACAGAACCTCAAATGTGAACACCACTAAATTTGTGAGGACTACATCTCAAAACAAACAACTTTTACGTCCTCCTATTAGAAGTCATCACAATAATACTCATAATACCCAGGACTCCCTGAAACAAGGCATCAATAGAACCTCTGCCAATGTTACAATTCGGAAAGGATCTCATGAGAAAGAATTACTGCAATTAAAGACAGTTTTATCTAGTGTCAAAAACAGCTCTTCTCAGGAAGTGAAAAGAAATAAGACAATATCAAGGAGCATCACATCTGAAATGACAGTCAGGCCTGCTTCATCTTCTAATACCAAACTGATAGAAAAGTCAAAAACCATTGACCAACGCAGACATACAATAGCAAAAGCAACTATTGATAGTAGATGGGCTCAGACCAAAGAAACTGCAGAAGATAGAAAGTAAGTAGATGTAACTCATTATTTTAATTTTCAACAGAGTACCATTTGTGAATTTGGTTTATAATTTTTTTGAATATATTAAGATTTTGTATGTGTGTATTATGTAGTGTCATGTGCAGACAAATTTATACTGTGGAACAGTGTGACCTGAGTTATTGTGTTTGAGTGTGTTTTATTAGGTTGTTTTGTGTGACATACATTAAAATTCTTAATAAAATTGGGAAGTATTTTATAACCTATCCATTTAAAAATGCATTATTGCCCTGGCCAGTTTGGCTCAGCAATGAGAGCATCAGCCCTCGGACCAGAGAGTACCTGGTTTGGTTCCCACTAGGGGCACGTACCTCGGTTGCAGTTTGTCCCCAGCCCCAGTTGGGGTCGTGTGGGTGGCAACCACTGAATGTGTCTCTCTCACATCAATGTTTCTCTCTCTCTCTCTCTCTCTCTCTTCCTCCCTCTCTCCCTCCCTCTCTATTTGAAGATAAATGCAAAAATGTCCTCGAATGAGGATTAAAAGAAAAAGCATTCTGTGTCTTTGACTGTATAATTAACATTGATAGGTTTAAATTTTTTTCCTTCAATTTGTGAACTATGTATTGCAACTATCATGGAACTACTTAAAGACTTGAAATATTTTTTAATTTTTTCTCTATTTAACAATGCTGTCAGCAATATCACAGTAACGTACTGCTTCTAATTATAGAGTTCGTCTGAGTGAGTGGAGAGCTAGCAAAGGAAGAATGCTGAAAAGGCCTCCTAGCTCAGTAGTTACCCAACCTGAACCTGAAGAACAAAATGAAAAACCAGTTGGATCTTTTTGGACTACCATGGCAGAAGAAGATGAACAAAGATTATTTACTGAAAAAGTAAACAAGACATTTACTGAATGCCTAAACCTGATTAATGAGGTAGTGTCTTTATCTTATATTTGTGTAGTAGTTTATTGTTTGCAAAATACCTTCATAAATATTATCCCATTAATTACATTGCCAGTCTTTTTTGACCAAGTAATGTGTGAGTGGTGTTATGTAGACTTAATTGTGAGATTATTTCTCTTTAGCCTTTAATGGACTGCATTTTCATTAAGTTCATAGAAATATATCAAAAGGATAGATTTGTTTTTTACTTGACTTATAAATATTGTATTTCTCTATGATGTTAATAATTTACCAAAGAATAGTAATATAAATTAGTGAGTCATTATTATCACAGGTTAAATTCAAGTTGATTAAAATATTTGCAAACATTCCTGTTAATCTCAACCAACATCATTATGGTCTTGAACATATTGTAATTTTATTGTTTGAACCAAAATTTGACAGACTATAATAATTAACTCCAGAATGATTTCTTTATTTCCTGACTATTCTTTAATCTTGCCTTGGTTATATACTATTGTCTAAGTTCCTGAACTAGACTGAATATACAGAGTATGATTTCAAACCTTACTGTAGTCTTCATGAGCATCTTTAAACATTTCGTAGGTCTGAGGACCAGTGAAAATTACAATCAGGGAAAGGGAGTCATTTCTTATTTCTGCTCAGCTGGGGTTTTTATTGATAGATACTATGGAATTTTTCTGCCTTGCTGCTTTTTTTTTTTTTTTTAATTTTTTTTCTTTATTGATTTTAGAGAGAGAGGAAGGGAGAGGGAAAGAGAGACAGAAACATCGATGAGTAAGAACATCTATTGGCCGCCTCCAACATGCCCCCAACTGGGGGACTGGCCCACAACCTGGCCATGTGCCCTGACTGGGAATCGAACTGGAGACCTCTTGGTGCATGGGTCAACACTCAACCACTGAGCCGCACCAGCCTTACTACTTAACCATATATAACTCTTACATAAACTATTACAGATTCATTTTAACCTTAATATCAAAACCTGACAAATATAATTTTAAAACCTGCAAGCTATTTTCACTTATAAACATTTGGTATATACAATAAATAATCTAATTATTAACAAATGGAATTTACAGTATAAAAGATAAGAGGATAAATATCAAGACCAAGTAGAGTGTTAGTCATTTTTTGCTAATGTTTTTTTCAACTAATATATTATTTTCTTGTACCTTGTACTTAGTATTTATATGCTTCATACTAGCCATTCAAAATAAGTTTGGAGTAAAGAGGGTAATAGGGAATAGTTTTATGAATAATTTCCTATCTACTTTTTCTCTCGCTGATCTTCATTATAGTGAGCTTGCTTAACTGTTCATACTTTCTAGGCTAAAAGGTATCACTCACTTTATTTCCTGATATTTTAGGGGTGCCCAAAAGAAGAAGTATTGGACACACTGAATGACCTGGTTAAAAATATTCCAGATGCCAAAAAACTTGTTAAATATTGGATATGCCTTGCACGTGTTGAACCACTCACAACTTCTATTGAAAATATTATCTCAATCTATGAAAAGGCCATTCTGGCAGGAGCTCAGGTGAGATTAAAACTTACTGGTTTTTATTAATCACAGTGTAAATTGTTCAGAATTATTAGGGATACATCACAGCATAACTTAATAAAATTGTGGTTATATATATAGAAGTAATGAATGTTTAAAGTCCATAAGAATTGCATATTATAAAAACTGTTTCTCAACCTTCTAAAATTTGCTCACATACTAGGGATAATCAGACCTTAGAAAATAGATATACTATAAGCTGTGAAATGCACAATTAATGAAACTTGCTGAGGGAAATATTTAATCACATCTTGTCATTTTGCACATTCCCTAGTTGAGAAATATGGGAAATTGAATTTTAATATTAAAATTTATTTATAAATTGTATCTTGCGGCTTTTTGCTTAGTTTGTTTTTTTTGGGGGGGGGGGTTGTTTTTATGGGCAAATGTTCCTAAAATGTATTTCCTTTTGACCAACTTTCTCAAAAACGTGTTCTTGGAGATTGCAAAGAATTTTTTAAAATTCTTTTATTTAGCCTTTCCTTAAGAAAGTTCTATTCATAATAATCTCGGCAAAGCCAGCAAATGCTATTTACCTTTTACCTGAATCAGAAATCAAGTATTCAGTAGATATTCTCTCAGTGGTTATTATGTGTAAAGCACTTTGCTGAAGGATAATTGTATTTGATGGAATCGTACCTAGAAGGCAGTGTTAGGTCACTACTACACTGAACCAGAAGGGATATTATTTAAGGCGGCTTATGGCAGTATAACTAGGATATGTAACTGGAGCTAAGGGTTCACATAGAAAGCCATAGTGTAAGAGAAAGATGTGACACTAAAGCAGAAATTGGAAAACAAGATTCAAAATTAGCCAAGAAAATTGAAAGCAGGATGGATGAGTAGTTCAGTACTAAGTTCTAGAACTAAGAATATGAGCCAGAGCATCCTTTTTATATAATATCTTGAATATGTTGCATTAGCAGGCACGGTAATTCAAAGGAACATGGGAAGTGCTCATAGTATCTGGCATATAATGGACTCTTAGTGAACTGGTGAATTTTTTAACCTTGAGCAGTTCAAAGATGCATTTAATACCATGTGAAACAAAAATATAACCATGTACTTGTAAAGGAGAAAAGGAGTAAACTTACTATAAACATAAGTAAACTTAAATGTAATCAGCTCTTCAGTAAATATTAATAATGTTAATTTGCTACTTGTTTACAAATTTTGTTCATATTAGGCAAGCAGTAATAGTTACCAAAGCCTTAAGAAAAACTATTAGGAGGAGGGATTTTTAAACTGATGAAATTCTGTTCTTTCAAACAAGTGCAATATAAGTGGTCTAAGAACCACTGCCTTCTTTTAAAATAAAAGATTTAATCACTGGATTTAATACTTTCAACTTGAACAACATATAAAATCTGAAAATATAAAACTTACATGCATCTGCTTTCTTCATTAAAAAAAATTAAGCCTATTGAAGAAATGCGACATGCAATTGTAGATATTCTAACAAAGAAGAGTCAAGAAAAAGTTAAATTTGGTAAGTTTCTTTTTGTTTCCTTCAGGTGAATTGTGGCTTTATTAAATTTCTTTGCTGAATTATTTTCCTTTTATCATTTTTAATTTTTTGAATATGTAGGTTGATCTTTCCTCATACTTCTATTGACGTACCTCTGAGATTCAATAGCTTTGTGTAGTATAAAGAATATTTAATTTTTAGAGAAGTTTAAGAATAATAACCCAACCTGGCAAAATGGGTGAAGAGGGTCCAAAGGTATAAACTTCCAGTTATAAAATAAATTAGCCATGGGGATGTAATGCATGGTAACTAGAGTTAATACCTACTATATTGCATATTTGAAAGTTGCTAAGAGAGTAGATCTTAAAAGTTTTCATCACAAGAAGAAAAATAAATTTGTAACTATGTATGGAGACAGATGTAAACTAGACTTATTGTGTTGATCATTTTGTATTCAAATACTGAATCATTCTGCTGTATACCTTTGTTTTTTAAAGTTAATAAAAAAATAACAATCCTGTGTCTTACATGCTAAATACAGCAAAGTGTACATAAGTATTTCATTTTAAAAGCCCCCATCCTAGCAGTTGTTTTTTAGTTGGTTGAGCATGGTCCCAGGCACCAAGAGATCACTGGTTCAATTCCAGGTCAGAGCACATGCCTGGATTGTGGACTAGATCCCCATCAGGGGAGAGTAGGAGGCAGCTGATTAATGTTTTTCTTTCACATAGGTGTTCTCTCTCTCTTTCCCCTCCCTTCTTCTCTCTCTAAAATGAATAAAAAACATATTTTACAAAAAGAAAAAGTTGTTCTCATAATTCTTACTGGCTCTAGAGATACATAGAAAAAGAAAACAGTATTGAAATCTTCAGTTTTCTGTCTTATTTTTCCATAATAGAATATCACTAGTTAGTGGAATCTTTTCTAGCAGGTAGACTATTTGTCTTTTGATGGAAAAAGAAATGCTATCAATAAACTCTTGGCTTTCTGAGATATGTAATCACTAGATAAATCAGTTTTACAAATTAATATAAATAGCATTGGGAAACAGAAGACAAATAATAAGAGAGACGAGTACCACTTATGTCTCATACCTCAGTCCCACATTTCTACTCTTGAACACATAATTTTCCTCTAAACTTTATCTTTCTTTGGTTCCCTTTCTCAATAACATACTATCCAGTTCTCCACACCAGAAACTTTAGGATTATATTTCACTCCCACTTTCTCACATCCCCATCCCTGTTCCTCAGCCAATCAAATTCAGTTTAACTTTGTAGGCATCTCTTAAAATGTATCTATTTTTCTTCATGCTTACTCTTATAACTATAGTCAAGATCACTTACACCTCTTAGGACTATATCAGTAGTCTTCTAACTTGCCTGCTTCTCTACTTTTGCTCTAATCCATTCTCAATACTGCAGTTGAAATGCCCTGTCACTTATCTGCTTAAATTCGTGACTCCAGCCTCATATCACTTCTACTCCTTCACATTCCTGAATTTCTTTGCTTTTTTTATTTTCTGGAAGTGGCTATGTTACCTATCTTGTATCTGGGTCTATCCAAGCCAATGTCCTACTTTTACAAATTTCTCCTTATCTTTTAGACCTCAGTTCAAATGTAATTCTTGGGAGTAGCCTTCCCTGATAGCCTCTTTATTCCCCCCATTCAGCTAGATTAAATGCACCATTTTTATGCTGTCTATTTTTTTCTCTGTGCAATAATTAATGCACTTGATTGCTTACTTGTTTCTCTCTGTCTCTTAAACTATAAACTTAATGGACAAGGATGATGTCTGATCTTCCTCATATTGTATCCTCAGTGCCAATGCAGTGCCCAGCATAACTTAGGCACTTAAATATTTTTTGCATTAAAGAATCCATAGTCTCTCTCTCCCCACTAACTAAAACATCTCTGAGTAAAAATCTCTGATAGTATCTAATCAAATCTAGAGGTTTTCTCAGCTTGATGGACTTACCAGATGTCTCACAAGTATTATACATCTAACATGTTTTTTTATGTTACAGATGTTTCTACTTTTTCCCCCATTGACATCCTCTTTTGATCTGCACCTCCCCCCCACCATGCCCTGTCCCCAGCATTGTTCTCTATGTCCATGATTACGCATACAGGCATATAAGTTCCCTCCCCGGCCCCACCCCTCCCACCCCCTCTTCTGAGGTTTGTCAGTCTGTATCCTACTTCTATTTTCCCAGGTCTGTTTTGTTTGTCAGTTTGTTTTGTTCATTATATTCCACAAATAAGTGAGATCATGTGACATTTGTCTTTCTCTGATTGGCTTGTTTCACTTAGCATAATACTCCAGGTCCCTTCGTGTCATCTCAAAGGATAAGAGATCTTTCTTTCTTACAACTGCAAAGTATTCCACTGTGTGTATGTACCACAGCTTTTTTATCCATTCATCTATTGATGGACACTTGGATTGTTTGCAGATCTTAGCAATTGTAAATAGTGTTGCTATGAACATAGGGGGTACATATATTCTTTCTGATTGGAGTTTTAGGCTTCTTAGGATATATTCCTAGAAGTGGGATCACTGGGTCAAATGGCAGTTCCATTTTTAATGTTTTGAGGTAACACCATATTGTTTTCCATAGTGGCTGCACCAGTCTGCATTTCCACCAGCAGTGTACTAGAGTCCCCTTTTCTCCATACCCTCTCCAGCACTTGTTTCATGATTTGTTGATGGCAGCCATTCTAACAGGTGTGAGGTGATACCTCATAATTGTTTTAATTTGCATCGCTCTCAGTGCCATTGAGCATTTTCTCATATGTCTCTTGGCCATCTGTATGCTCTGTTTGGAGAGGTGTCTATTTAGGTCCTCTGCCCATTTTTTAATTGGGTTCTTTGTCTTTTGTTGAGTTGTATGAGTAATATTTTGGAAATTAGCCCCATGTTTGATGTATCATTGGCAGTTATGTTCTCCCATATACTAGGTTCCCTTTCCATTTTGATGGTTGGTTCTTTTGCTGTGCAGAAGCTCTTTAGTTTGATGTAGCTCCCTGTGTTCATTTTTTTCCTTTGTTTCTCTTGCCTTAGGCATTCTGTTAGTGAAAATTTTGATCCCTCTATTCCCACATTGCTGAGTGCTTTTATCAGAAATGGGTGCTGGATTTTGTCTAATGCTTTTTTTAGCATCTATCGATAAGATCATATGGTTTTTATTTTTCATTTTGTTTATGTGGTGTATCACATTTATTAATTGGCAAATATTGTACCAGCCTTGCATCCCTGGGATGAATCCCACTAGGTCATGATGAATAATGTTTTTTATGTATGGCTGGATCCAATTTGCTAATATTTTGTTAAGTATTTTGGCATCTGTGTTAATCAGGAATATTGGCCTGTAGTTTTCTTTCTTTGTAGTGTCTTTATCCGGTTTTGGAATTAGGATTATGCTGGCCTCATAAAATGAGTTTGGACGTCTTCTGTCTTCTTAGATTTTTTGGAATAGTTTAAGGAAAATGGGTGTTAGATCTTCTTTGAATGATCGGTAGATTTCCCCAGAGAAGCTATGTGGGCTTGGGCTTTTGTTTGCTGGGAGTTTCTTGATTACATCTTCAATTCCCTTAGTTGTTATTGGTCTGTTTAAGTTTTTTTTATCTCTTCCCAGTTCAGTTTTGGGAGACTGTGTGTTTCTAGAAATTTGTCCATTTTGCCTAGATTGTCCAATTTGTTGGCATATAATTGTTCATAGTGTGTTTTAACAATCCTTTGTATTTCTGTGGTGTCAGTTGTTACTTCTCTTTCATTTCTGATTTTGTTTATTTGGGTCCTCTCTTTTTGTTTCTTGGTGAGTCTAGCTAAGGGTCCATCGATCTTGTTTATCTTTTCAAAGAACCAGCTCTTTGTTTCATTGATCTTTTGAATTTTTTTTTGTTTTTTTTTTTTTGTTTTTTTTGGTCTATGTCATTTATTTCTGCTCTGACCTTTAGTATTTCTTTTCTTCTACTTGCTCTGGGGTTTTCTTTTTGTTTACATTCTAGTTCTTTAAGTTGTAGGGTTAGAAAGTCAATTAGGAATTTTTCTTGTTTCTTGAGGTAGGCCTATAGTACTATGAACTTCCCTCTCAGGACTGCTTTCGCTGCATCCCATAGATTTTGTGTTGCGTGTTCATTTTCATTGTTTTCCAGGAAGTTTTTAATATCTTCCTTGATCTCCTTGGTAACCCATTTGTTTTTTAATAACATGCTATTTAGCCTCCAAGTGTTTGAATGTTTTTGTTGTAATTGATTTCTAGTTTCATGCCATTGTGATCTGAGAAGATGCTTGATATGATTTCAATCTTCTTGAACTTGTAGAGACTTAATTTGTGTCCTAAAATGTGGTCTATCTTTGAGACTGTCCTGTGTGCACTGGAGAAGAATGTATATGCTGCAGCTTTGGGGCGAAATGTTCTGTAAATGTCAATTAAGTCCAGCTGATCTAGTTCGTCATTTAAGGACTCTGTGTCCCTGTTATTTTTTTGTCTAGAAGATCTATTCAGTGGTGTCAGTGGGGTGTTAAAGTCACCTACTGTGATTTTATTGCTATTGATCTTTCCCTTGAAGTCCTTCAGAAGTTTTTTTTAATATATTTTGGTGCTCCCATATTTGTTGCATATATGTTTACCAGGGTTATATCCTCTTGTTGGATTGATCCTTTTAATATTATGTAATGACCTTCTTTGTCTTGTATTATGGTCCTTGTTTTTCTTTTTCTTTTTTTGATATTTTGTTAAGATAGAGTGGGAGGAAGAGAGAGAGAGAGAGAAACATCGACATGAAAGGGACACATCGAGTGGTTGCCACCCTCACAACCCAACCAGGGCCAGGGACAAACTGCAACCGAGGTACATGTCCTTAGCGGGAACCGAACCCCGTTCTCTCTGGACTGCAGGCTGAAGCTCTAACTGCTGAGCCAAACCGGCCAGGGCTTATGGTCCTTGTTTTGAGGTCTATCTTATCAGAAATGAGTATCGGTAGACCAGTTTTGTTTTGTTTTTTCAGTTTCATTTGCTTGGAAATTTTTTTTTCTATCCTTTCACTTTTATCCTTTTATCTTTTGTTGTGAGGTGGGTCTCTTGTAGACAGCATATATATGGGGTTGTGTGTTCTTATCCCATCAGCTACCCTATGTCTTTTGAGCATTTAAGCCATTTACATTTAAGGTTATTATTGACAGATACTTATTAGTGGCCATTTTTATTTTATGCCTGTGTTTCTTTCTCTTTCTCTCTCTCTCTCTCTCTCCCTCTCTCTCTCTCTCTTTCTTCTTCCTCTTCCTCCTCTTCTTCTTCCTCCTCCTCCTCTTCTTCTTCCTCTTCTTCCTCCTCCTCTTCCTCCTCTTCCTCTTCTTCCTCTTCCTCCTCTTCTTCCTCTTCCTCCTCCTCCTCCTCTTCCTCTCCCCCCCCCCCCTGCAGTGCTGGTTTGGTGGTGGTAAGTTCCTTTAGCTTTTCTCTTTTTTTGTCTGTGAAGCTCTTTATTTCTCCTTCAATTTTGAATGATAGCCTTGCTGGATAGAGTAGTCTTGGATTCAGACCCTTGCCTTGCATTATTTTGTATACTTCATGCCACTCCCTTCTGGCCTGCAGCGTTTCTATTGAGAAATCAACTGACAGTCTAATGGGAGCTCTCTTGTAGGTAACTTTCTGTCTCTTATTTCCTTTAAGATTCTTTCTTTGTCTTTAATGTTTGCCATTTTTATTATGGGTATGGGTCTCAGCTGCAGGTCTTCTGGAGTTCGTCTTGCTTGGGACTCTGTGTTTCCTGGACTTGTGTGACTTTTTCCTTCACCAGTTTAGGGAAGTTTTCTATCATTATTTTTTCAAACAGGTTTTCTATTCTTTTCTCTGATTCTTCTCCTTCTGGTACCCCTATGATACAAATGTTGTTACGTTTGGTATTGTCTCGAAGCTTCCTTAAACTCCCCTGCTTTTTAAGTTTTTTTTCCCATTAGCTTCTCTATTTGGGTGTTTTGTTCTACCTTGTCTTCTAACTCACTGATTTGGTCTTTAGTTTCTTCTAATCTACTGTTGAATCCTTGTAAAGTATTTTTGATAACAGTTATGTCATTCTTTATTTCCTCATGACTTTTATTCATAGCTTCTACCTCTTTTTTAAAGCTGATGTAGTTCCCATTGAGCTCTTCATAATTCTTATTAAGTTGCTTGTAGTTCTCACTAAATTGTTTGAGCACCCTTAAAATCATTGCTTTGAATTCTTTATCTGATAAATTGCTTTCTTCCATTTCCTGTAGTTCCTTTTCTGGTGATTCCTCCTTTTTTTTCATTTGGGTGTTGTTTCTTTGTCTCACCATTTTAGCAGTCTGATAGTTCTAGGCCTGATGATGGGTGTTGGAATGTGTAGGCAGGTTGGTGTATATCAAATAAGGCTGTTATACCTCCCAGACTGTTTTGGTATTTGCCTGCTGTGAGACCTGGAGGACTGACAACTGGTGGCTGGTGTGTTGGTCTGTCATGCCGGTCTTGGCTGCCCCAGTCTTGCTGCTGCTTGGTCAGAGGCACCGCTCCTGATCAGCCTCTGCTTATGCTGCTGGGGGTGGGTCTCAGCTGCTGATCTGTACTGCTGCTGCTGCTGCTGCTGCTGCCTGGGGTGCATGGATCCAGCTGGTACACTACTAGGGTGCGTGGGTCTCACGGGTTCCCTACTGGGGGTGTGTGGTTCCCGCTGGGGTGCTGCTGGGTTGCATGGGTCCATCTGGTGCTTTGCTGGGGTGTGTGGGTTCCGCTGGTGTGCTGCCGGGGTACCTGCTGCCTCGTGGGGCTCAGCTCCTGATCAGTCGCTTTTGGGGATGAGTGTTAGCTCCCAATCTTCTGGTGCTGTGGAGGCTGAGGGTGCTCTGCTCTTGAGATTTTGCTCCTGTTGGGGGAGGGATTCTACTCCAAATCTGCTGCTGCAGTTGTCACAGGTAGGTTTCAGCTACCGGAGTCTTGCTGCTGCTTGGGCTGGAGCACCACTCCTAATCAGTCTCTGCTGATGCCGCTGGGGATGGGTCTCAGCTGCCAATCTGTGCTGCTGCTGCCTGGGGATGGATGTTTGTTCCAGAGCCTCTGCTGCTGTCGGGGTGGGGCTCCACTCCCACCTAGTGCTGCTGCTATGGGGGAAGGTGTTGGGCTCCTATCAGGCTTCTGCTGTGGGGGATGGTGTTCGGCTCCTGGCCAGTTGCAGCTACTGCAGCAGGCACCTTGATAGCTCCGCTACTGTGCGCTGATCCGTGTTGACTCAGTGGGGTCCCCTGGTTCGATGGTGCAAGACATTCTGGTGGACTCAGGTCAGTTAGCCCTAACTGCTTCCCACTGCCTTCTCCCAGAGAAGACCAGGGATCTTCCAAAATGGCAGGGCCTCCCGGCTCTGCAGGGAGAAGCTTGCTGACGAGCCACTTACCGGCAGCCAACTGCTCCCTTCCAAAGCACAGGAACCCTCTGCCCTACGTTTCTGCACTGTTCAATGTTGCCCGTCCACACTCACATCCATTCACGCTCACACTCACACACTCACCCTCGCTCCAGTCCTGCCCACTGCCATCTTCTGTCTAATATGTATTTTTAACTTTGTCTTTTCCCACTGCTTCTCCATACCACCATCTCTTCCTCCCAAAAAATAAAAGAAAAAAGAAAAAAAATTCTTCCTCTGTCATTAAAGACTCCAGAGCAAGAAATTTTTCAATGGATGCCCCTAATACATACACTCATTTAGACATACACATGCATTCATTTATTTATTAACTCCTAACTCAGAAATAACTCTTAACTCAGGCTCTTCCTTCTTATCGCCTGCCTCTGCCACCCTGCTGAGACTGTTACAACAGCTTTGTCTTACCATCACACACTATTAAGTTTTCGTTCCCTGCCATTCTAAATCATCCTTTATCATAATGTGTCTCTGTCTCTCTGGTGAATTTTTTTATTACCAAATTCTTGCACATGAAGTTCATTATAGTCTAGACCCTTTCTACTTATCTGAACTCATCACCTCCCCACTGACCTTTCTCCTTACTTTACATTCTAAGCACACTGGCCCTTTAATGTTGTCTTGATGGATCTTTTTTTTTTTTCACACCAAGATCCTCTTCCTTGGTCTTGTCAAGTACAGATTTTTCAAGATGCAGCATAAATGTCACTCATGATACTTTCCCTAGCCATCTCCCTGTCCCACAAGCTAAGTTATTCCCTTTTATGGGTCCTCATCTCAATTTCTTGTTTTATAATTATTTTCAAGCATGGAATGTGAAAAAAACATTTTTTTAATTTATTTTTAGAGAGAGAAATGAGAGAGAAACATCCATTGACTGCCTCCTGCATGCCCTCTACTGGGGATCCAGCATGTGCCCTGCCTGGGAATCAAACCAGGAACCTTTCAGTGCATGGGACAATGCCCAACCAACTGAGCAGTCAGGGCGGAATGTGGACTTCTTAAAGGACAGGGATGATTTCATTCTTGTATTTGTATCTATAATCCCTGTCACATAGGTGTTAATAAATATTGTTAAATAGTTGTCAGCAATATTTCCTTAGGAAAAGTAATGGTTAGGAGATGGCTTCGTTCTTTTATTTTGAAAACAGGGTTCACTGTGAATATCTTTAATGACTTCTGATTTTAATCATAACCTATAAATATATTTTTATAGGAGAAAATGTTGAGGAGGCTTGTGCAACCGAAAAACAAATCCAAGAAGTCAATATTGAAGATATTGGTGTTAGTCCAGAGTCAGGAAAACCTGAAATGGAAAGTAAACAAAATAGAAATGTGATATTTCAAGATTGTGAAAAAGAGCAAGTTCACAAAACAAAAGATCCAACCAATGATGTTAAAACCCCCAACACAGAAACTAAGGAGGGTTGCGTAATTAAATACAATGTGTCTACTACACCATACTTGCAAAGGTAAGCTTTTTAAAAGTAATGTGCTGTGATTTGTTTTTATGCTTAGGGATAATAAATACGGTGTTTTAAAATCTTTAAGATAGCTTCTGATTAGAACTGTTTGTTAACAGAAAGGTTTCAAACAAATCAGTATCATTGGGACATCACCTTTTAAATACTGCATTTGCTTGCTTTTCCCTAAATGTTGCCATTTTGAAAAAGAAAATTTTTACATCATTTTAATTGCTGATGGTGTATTATTGATAAAAGTAGGTTTTGGAATTCAACAACTAGCAAATGCTACAGATACTCAAGTATCTACTATGTACAAGTTGTAACAAAATTGAGAGAAGAGTAAGTTCCTTATTTCAAGAAGCCTGTGTCTAAAACAGTCACATGTCTATAACACACAAGTTATGGTATGATAAGTAGCATCAAAATACAAAGTAAAAATGTTAACATGTTTTTTAATTCTGGGAATAATTTTGTGGGTTTCTTTTTTGTTATTTTAGTGTAAAAAAGAAAATGCAGTTTGATGAAATAAATTCTACATTTAAAGAGCTAAAGTTTCTGACACCAGTTAGACGTTCTCGACGACTTCAAGACAAGACTTCTAAATTGCCGGATATGTTAAAAGACCATTATCCTTGTGTGTCTTCATTGGAACAGCTAACAGAGTTGGGGGATGAGACTGATGCTTTTATATGCCGCCCTAATGCAGCATTGTGCCGGATGTATTTGGAGCCTGAAACAACAGAAGATAAATAAAACTATGATAAGAAATAAGGTTTTTATTATTCCTGGGGTGTTTTGTTTGTTTGTTTGTTGTGGCTACATATGTTTCTTAGTTCAGGAGTTGGCCAAGTTACCTAAGTATTCATGGCAGTGAACTCTTTTACTAACATTTACATAATAGCATGTGTTGCCTTCTGTGTGTCAGAAAGCTAAATGCTATTTTGTCTATCTCAACAGACTAAGATTTTCTCTAAGATGGTAAATTTTGTCAACTAATTTACTATGTCCTTTTAGTATAATTATAAATGTCACTCTAGTTTTGGTGATATTTCTAAAATAAATAATACTTAAACTTGCTTTGTAATACAATAACTGCTAAATCATGTCCCCTGAAATATGATAGTTATATACTGTAAACAGTTCTCTTCCCACAAACACAAATACCACTAATAAAATTGTTTACGTCTTTAAATGGCATATATCCTCTACCAATTCCACGTTTTCAAATAAGTAATTGGTTATTGTAAGAGATTAGATCATTTTAAAACTATAATATGAATGTGGCTAAAAATCACATACATGGGCTCATTTATGTTCATGTATTCCATTTGTATAACTACTTTCCATTGTCTTCTCATGTTCCAGAGAGTAGGATTTTTGTTCTTTTTTAAACTGCCTAATATGTAAACAATAAATTTAAATATCTATGTAATGATGTTTTAGTGCCATTTATTTCAACAAATATAAAATGTAGTTTTACCATAGTGAATAAATTCAAACCTCGCCTTTGGAAATACATTATAGTGGGGTTTGACTTGAGGTTTTCAACATTTAAAATAAGTATGTGCTTAATGGTTATTTTCTTTTTAAAAATAATCTACTTCTCTAAAATTGCACCTAATTCTTTAATCTGTTCTCTTCCTACTTTGTACAAGTGATACAAAATGTACCATTTTAAAATAAACTTCAAGCTGGCTTACACTCTGAACTTTTAAATATCTAACATAAGGTTCATTTGGTCATATAGCATAGTTTAAAATAGCTCTGTAAAAGAGAACTTGAGATAAACTGTTCTATGTTTGGACAAGTTTCATAGTGGGGTTTTTTTCCCCCCTCAACTGAGGGGAAACCTATCTTAGTCCTATTTCTAACATTTACAGATACAGGTCTAACTGCTTTACAGATGCTTAAGAACAGTTATGTGCCTGACCTAGGTTTGTTCCAAGCTAAATATCTCCATGGTGCATGAGCTTTGAAGCTCTACAGACCTATATTCTCTGCTCCTTTCTTTTCTTAAGTTATGTGACCATGGAGTTACTTAGTTGAACCTCATCTTTCTGAAGAATAAAGTGGAGATAATCCCCTCTGGTCATTCAGTACCATGTTATCGGCCTATCCCTGTGGTTGACTGGCCAAAATGGACAATTGACCCAAGCTGGACTATCAATATCCTTTTCATAGGTACTCGGAATCAGGACTGAGAGTCTTTTCTGTGTAGTTATACCTGAAATATGTAAATATGAGGCATGACCAAATATGTGGGTGACCATTATAAAGATTGGGTAGCAAAGGTCACCAGTTAACAGAACAATGAAGTAACTACCCAGGGAAAAGCAGACTCCTGCCTGGGGTTTTCCTTTATCAGTTGCGTAACCAAATATCGTCCTGTTAAATCCAAGTACGGCATATTTACATATACATGGACATAAATACATAAACACATGTATCTCAAGTATGGTTCTGCAACTTGTTTTTTTTCCCCTAATTGACTAAGTTAAGGAACTTTTCATTGACATAGATCAATGTAACATTAAGATTACATGGGGCCCTGGCCAGTTTAGCTCAGTAGTTAGAGCATAAGCCCACAAACCGAAGGGTCACAGGTTCAATTCCCATCTGAGGGCATATGCCTTGGTTGCAGGTTTGATACCCAGTCCTGGTCAGGGTCGTTCGAGAGGCAACTAATCAATGTGTCTCTCTCACATCAATGTTTCTTTCTCCCTGCCCCTCCCTTCCACTCTCTTAAAAAAAAAGGCAGGGGGGGGCGGGGGATGTCTTTGGGTAAGGAGTAACAACAATAAAAAAAAAGACTAAATGGGAATTCAGTAAATGATAAATTTTGTTTCAATACAGTAGAGAAAATGGCTGTGATTCAGACATCCATTTTGAGAACAAGTAATTCCAGTCTCTCCACCACTTGCAAAAATAAGTTCCAGATAGAATAAATAGTTAAATGTAAGTAAATACATTTAGAAGGAAATGTAAAAGGCATTTTCCCCTTAGGCTAAAGCAAGACCCTTACAAAGGAATCTTGAACATGGAAGGGTGTAGTAGAGCACAGACTTCAGCAGTACTCAGCAGGATGAGTTCCACCCCTAGGTACAAGGAAGACATCAGCAGTCAGGCCAGTTACTCAGATCTTCAATATTCTGTGAGAAAATGGATGTGAAGCTAGACTTTTGTGACCAAGGTGTCATTCAAGTTTGAGAGCTTCAGTTTACTGCTCATGAACTTAATCTGAAAGTATTCCTATAAGGTTTTATTACAGTGAAATAAGTTAATTAAGATTTAAAGGCACATCAAATCAAAACTGAAGTTCACATAACTGTAGATTACAAAATGGTATTTAAAGGGTTAGTAATGTTTTAAAGGGTAAAGGTAAAAGTTTGCAAAAGGCAGAAACTGAAAAATGCGTTGCTTACATGACCTTTGCTCAGCTTTCTGTTGAGTGTAGATTATCTGGATTATCCGCAAGGCAATGAATCATTCAGTAGATGCAGGGCAAGATACCAGACCAGTCCAAATGCAAAGTGGACAATGGGCCAGGCAGAGTACATCAGCAGGAACTGCCAGAAGCTAAGAGTATGTAACCTACACCTCAACTGTTATTCGGGGCTGACCCCTTTTCAGCTCAGCCCACCTGCACCCAGGTGCATGCAATCAAATCATTTTGCTCTACATTGGCCTTGAGTTGTGGATCTGATCCCCCGCCAGCTCAGATCTTTTATTTGGTGCTGAAACCCAGGAGGTCTGTGAGGATCCCGCAAAAGGGGCAACTGAGGGCCCTCAGAGTTCTCTGGTCCTCCTTTCGGACCAGAATTGATCACATACTCAGCCAGATACCAGACTTCCAACTTTCCTGCCGATTTAGCATCATCAGCACCGGACACTAATTCACTGGTGAGTATTTTTTGCCTACCGGTCTGATTCTCCGGGCTGTCCTGTTATCCCCCAATCTGGGACATAAGATTATCAGGTCTCTCGGTCACGTCTGTGTGATTGTCCATCCTGAAATCCAGCGCTGGTCAGGACATGCTCCTCAGGAACTCGGGAACCAGGTTCCCTCAGCTCACCATATATCTAGGGACGCCTGATATAGGTGAGTTGCACATCTCTCTGCTCTAGAGGAGAAGGGGGCACATCTTCTTCCACTAGTGTATCTGTCAGGCTGATAGGCTGAGACATCTCACACTGCAACATGGGAAACACTCAATCTTCTATCCCTTGTAGAACACCCCTAAGATGTCTCCTTAAAAATCTACGGACCCTAGGGTTCCCTCAGGACTTATGTCCCAAGTGACTCATTTTTTACCTTGACACTGCATGGCCTCAGTACAAACTGGACAATGGGTCACAACAGCCTGAGAACGGCACTTTCAACATTCTCACTGACCTAGACAATTTCTGTTGAAGGCAAGGAAAATGGTCTGAGGTTCTTTACATCCAAGTCCCTTTGCACTCAGATCACACCCCTCTTTATGTGATTCTTACTCTCTCTCCCAAATCTTCCTGCTCCACTCTATCCTCCCAAACCTCCCTCTGAAGATGGCTCGCTAACTTCTGTTTCCTCCTTCTCCCTCAGCCCCTGGGCAGGGCCTCCTCCTCCAGCCCCTACTGTGGGTCCCCACCCTACCCTGAAACTCCTACTCTGACTCTGACTCCTCTACCACTGCAAACAACTCCCTCACACACGTGATTGGTAACCATCTTTGGCCCCTATCCGTCCCCTACCTCAGTCCCCATTTTAGAATGTCCCCTGAGGGAAGCAGCAGGAGCTGAAGGGATTATCAGAGTTCATGTCCCCTTCTCTCTCTCTCAGACTTGTCCCAAATAAATAAAAGATTAATATTCTTTATTGAGGATCCCACCAATTATACTCAGGAATTCAAGTACCTTACTCAGTCCTATGATCTAACTTGGAATGATAGTCATGTTATTCACTCTTCCACCCTTAATCCGGAAGATAAAAATCAAGTCTGGGTTAATGCCCAGGGCCATGCTGATGCTCTGAGGTGACAGGCCCCCATTAACCCCGTAGGAGCTGAAGCAGTCCTTAGCCAAGACCCCAGATGTAATTATCAGGACAGTGGGGCAGGTAGGAAAGCCAGGGACCATATGATATGTCTCCTTGAGGGACTTAAAAAGCCTCACACAAGGCTGTTAGCTATGAAAAACTCTGAAATAGTCCAGGAAAGGAGTGAAAACCCTGCAACCTTTCTATCCCGCCATATACAGGCTACTAGCCCAGAGGGACTGTCATTCTAAACCTGAGATTTATCTCTCAGTCGGCCCCAGACATTAGGAGGAAGTTACAAAAACTGGAAGATGACCCTCAAACTCCTCAGTGGGAACTTCTAAATCTAGCCTTTAACGTTTTTAATAATCGTGATGAAGAGGCTAAACAGCAAAGAAGAGCAGAATTCCAAATGCTTGCCTCTGCCATCAGAGCCCCCACTAATCAAAGGGGTCAGCAAACCCCCTTCAGGGGACAGAAGAAGGGCACCCACCAGAATCAGCGGAGTGTCCCTGCTTTAAATGCAATCAGACTGGCCACCGGGTGAGGCAATGCCCCAATCCCTGACCACCGCCTGAGCCATGTTCTCAGTGTGGAGGACCCCACTGGAAGTCGGACTGCGGGCAGACTGCACAGAGTCGGTGCTCATCCCCTCCTTGGGCTGGAGGAATGGACAATCCAGGCCTTGATCAGATTGGCCTCAAGGCTGAAGACTGAAGGTGCCCAGGAACAGACGCCCTGACTGTCATCTCGAACTCCGAACCTTGGGCAACTCTGATGACAGCAGGTAGGCCAATTCCATTTTTAATCTATACCGGGCAATCTACTCTGCCCTCCCAGAGTTCAGGGGACCTCTTCTAGCTCTGTTGTGGGAATTGACGGTCAAATACCACAACCCAGGGCAACCCAGACACTCACTTTTCTTTAGGCCCTTGTGTCTTTCTCC